CGAGGGGGTCGGTTAAACGACCACTTTGGAGGGGAAATGAGGTTTCCCCGAGATGGTTCTGTCTCCCCCATCTTGCGGGGCCGCTTCTTCTTGCGCTCCCCCTCGGGCTGCGATGTTGGCGCGGACCCCTCCGGGCGCCTGCTGCTGGCACGCGCCGCCCCGCCCCCTCGGGGAGGAGATGGGGGAGGTGTTCCTCCCTGCTTCCTCTTCCCCCGGGCGTCGGCAAGGCGGCTGCTCCCCGGGCCCCTGTCGCGGGACCCAGAAGCACGACCCCCTCTCGGGGTAGATTGTTCCCCCCTGCGGCTCCCGCCTGCGCCGTCGTGGCCCTTTGGAGCTCGCTCCTCTGAGGCCCCGACCGCCATCATAATGGTCAGGATGGAGGCGCGGTCTGGATCGCTGCAGAGGGGGAGGATTCCTTGGGGAATGAGGGCCGCCTCTACGGAGTTGAGATTCAGCACCCGTTGGACCAATATCTTGAAGTCCTCAGGAGCCCAATCCCATCTCACTCCCTGGTGGGTCCTCGTGAAGTCTTCGGACCCGGTGTACTCCCAGGCGCCCTGAGCGCGTCACTGGAGCGGCGCAATCCGACGACGGAGGTAGTCGCCGTACACCATGGCCCCTGTGAGCCCCTGGGATCGCAGGCCCGCCAGGCGGTCGAGGACGGCGTCATAGCCATCCCCCAGATCTACCGGCGCCCGCCAGCTGGAGGCCTGCGCCGGGGGCTGGCTCGGAAGTCGGAGGCGCGCTTCGTCGGCGAGGGGAGTGTAGAACCAGTCGCTCTTCCAGTCGTCCCACTTCTTGCGGAGGGCGCAGGGGATGTAGCGGTTCAGCACCGGCCCCCGTGGCTGGAAGTAGCAGCCACCGACTACCGAAGGCGGCGACACCGACTGCACGGTGAAGAACCACCGGAACAGCTGAAGAGATGGGCGCACCCCAATGAACATCTCGCACAGATGCGCGAAGATGGCCAATGTCATCACCGCGTTGGGGGTGAGGTGCGCCATCTGGAGATCGTAGAACTCCAGAACATCCATGAAGAAAGAAGAAAATGGCGGAACCAGCCCTGCCATTGCAAAGGGGAGAAAGAAGACGGACCGCCCCGGGTAGTCTGGCGCCGGGCGTCCCTCGCCCAGCGTGACTATCTCCCGGCCGGTGGCAGATTCCGGCATGAAGCGGCGCGACAGCCCAGCCTGCCTCTCGCTCACGATGCGGGAAGGCGGCAGCACGCTACCATCGAGCAGAGCGGAGCCCCGTGCCATGGCGCCGGAGAAAGAGAAGATTAAGAGCGAGCGCGTGTGGCGAAGGTAGGGCACAGGAAAGAAGGAGTTAGGGCGCAAGCGGCGAAGACAAGGGGAATAATGGCGAAAGGAAGGAAACAGATCCCTTCCTCAGTGCCTTTATACTCTTGCCAACGCTGTGCCCGGCTCCTCGCTTCTCGCGCCCACTATTTCGCCCCCTCGTTTCTCGCGCCCACGCTTCCACTAATCCCATTCGCCCGCTTGCGGCGCATGAGGTGGATATGCGGTTGTGGCAGTCGAGATAGATCATATCGTGCGCGCGTTAATTACGCTCGCCGACCGAAGCAACGTTACCATATCTCCAGACGAAACGAATCGCCATGTCCAGATTCGTGTGCTACTCAAGTAATATGGCAGTCTTGAAGAGACCGCTCATTGTTGACAACCGAGTTACCATTGCCGATGTGCGTGGTTTGTGACCGTTGGGTTTCTGCCCAATTGTGGAGACCGGTCCCACCTGTCACCAGGCCTTAGGAGAGGCGTCACGCCCGACCGTTTCCCTTAAAGAGGGCGATCGCCCTGGCATAACGCCGGGGGCTACTGTCGGTGACATGGGATCAGGAGTATCATGACTAGAGGTTTGAGGCAGACACAATCGCACACGTGGCCTGGCATCTCCGAGGGACGTCGGGCCCGAGGGTGATGTGTTCGCCCTCCTCTTAGTCCCCCCGAGGGGGTCGGGCCGCACCCGCCTCGGCCCCGAGGGCCGAGGCGCCCCGACCCCTCGTGGGTCTTTGCTCTGCGTGTATGGGTTAGGTGAGCACAGTGGGGCTCACCTAACCACATTTATTGCGGTTTGGCTGAGCGTGTCACGCCGCATGTAACGCAGTGCAGTGCACTAGTTTATCCGGTCAGTGACCAGTCACAGACCGGTCAGATCGCGGGTTAGGTGGCGACAGGCGATCTGACACACGCCTCGCCCCATCCCGTCAGGACGAGGGCTTCTAGGCGCTCGTCCCCAGCTGGAGCTAGCGTGTTACCTCCCAGAGATGGCACGTTAGTCCTGGTCAGATATATGCCAGGCTTCATCCTAACCATTGCAGGCAAGATGTTGTGTGAAGAAGGGCGAACATGTAGATTGCTAAGCTGACACGTGGTGGACAAGAATGACCGACGTGACTGGTCTGACACCGGTCATGTCGTCAGCAGACAGCCACGATTCCACGTCGCACCTGCTCCCGGCGAAAGTGGAGGTAGTTGTGGCCCGTCTCATCAGAAGGTGACTCGGACGGCAACTATACAAATCTCCGTCCATTTATGAAAAGGTGGGGTAAGTCCCCACAAAAAAAGAGAGAAATGGTGCATGTGGTATCCCCTTAAGATATAAAAGGAGGACCTTGCCCACTGAGATGGGGACTGGACTTTTCCAGATTGGGAACCCAGAACAAGGGAGAGGCTGGCTCATACCTTGTAGCTCCTTCATACGCAGATCACCCAAAACACAGGAGTAGGGTATTACGCTTCTCAGCGGCCCGAACCTGTATACATCGCCCGTGTCTTGTGTGTTTCCGGTCTAGCGAACCTTCCACATACAGAGAGCTTAGAATCTCACCCTGAGTCCCCGGCCGAACCGGCAAAGGGGGGCCTGCGCAGTCTCCCGGTGAGGAGCCTCACGCTCCGTCACGGGGATACGTGTACATATTTATATATATTAAGGAAATAGCAATAAAATAGGAGTGTTCAGCCAATTCCGTATCAATCTTCTCCAAATTATCTTTTCTAGATAATTCAAGTTGGCGAATTCAGACAAAAATCAACACATGTAAATTGATGCATCATGTTTACAACATCAAGTGAAGCGTCGACTAGGCAAGTAGGAGGACCCAACACCTACCGATCGACCACCACCAATATCAAGATGTTACTTGCCCTTGCTTTCTCTTGATAAATTAGCAGCTGCATGAGCAGCCGCGCTAGCACTAGGATTGCTAGATGCACATGCACTAGCCTGAGCTTCCAAATCCAAAATCTATGATAATGCTTGACTACTTGTAGCAAGAAAATAAGAAAAAAAAATTACAGATCAAGCATGGGAACTTGGAAAGCCAAGCCAGAAGAGGAGATTTGGCTCACAGGGGAACGAAGAGAAGTATACTCGTGCTTCCACGGTGCCGCCGGTGGTTGCAGCGGCAGCGGCGGAGGCGGCGGCGGCGGCGGCAGCGGCCAAACGGCCTCCGCCTGGCATTGGCGCGGGCAATCTTCCGCTGCGCCTAGCTGCGATGCTGTTGCTTCCGCGTGTGGCGATGACGACGGCACCGGGACGTAAGGCCACGAGCATGAGGAGCATCCGGAGGAATAGCAGATGGAACCATATTAGGAACGTTCGGGACATATCGGTGAAGTATCCGTGTTTTTCTATTTAATTGAAAATTGCGAAAATCTGGGAAACATACGGGATACGTATCAGAGCGTATCCGAAACGTATCCGTGTCCGTGCGAGTATCCGATACGGATACGTGACTTTTGTGCCGTTTCCAGGTAACACAGGATGCTGGTGTGGAGCAGAGGTGGAGGCGGAGGCCGGCGCATGGAGCAATAAAGTGAGTGTGGTGATTGTAGAGGGCCACGTGGGTGGAGGGGGTGATTGACCAGCGTATCGCGTCGCCCGCGTGTGTGTCCAGCCAGATGAGATAGCGGAGGCACTTCTGTTAATTCCCTCGAGCTAAGTTATCGTCTCTACTGGTCAAGATCTCAAATAGGGCAACACTGGATGAGGACCGGAGACAAGAGAGAATAGATAAATGAAGAGGTGGGGGTATTTGCAAAATATACATTTCATTCACTAGTCCATGTTTGTATCCTGACCTGTCACGTCGCATCATTGAAAGTGACAAAAGTATTAGGAAAACATTTTTTCTGATAACAAAGAAAAGGGAAAAGGAACCACGACAAGCCGATAGCTTAGAAAAACGGTAAACCGGTACCCAAACGAGGTAGTACTACTATACATACTAGTAATACATACTAGTATTACCATCGTCCTTAAATAAGTACATTTTTAGCACATGAAGCACAAATTAGTAGGAAAGATAAATGACATACATACCCCTAATAATGCACTAGGATTGTTGTTTTTTTTCCTCCGGGGGGTAGGGGGCGGTGTAATATAAGATGGAGATAAACTTAAATAAGAAATTATTGACACAAACATGTAGTGCTTAATAATGCATTTTAGGATAAAATTAGAGTAATAGAGATGCACAGATGGAGCGAGTATGAGATAATGCCCCGCCATATTGTAATGTACAAACCACTTGCTTACTGTTAGCTCTAGGTGCGTGCGGGAAAAAAAAAAGATAGGGAACAAAAGGTATCCATGAACCGTAAAAAAAGGCGCACACATGTACCCATTATCCATAAGTTAACATATACTCCCTCCGTCATAGAATATAACAACCTAGAATTAGATTGGATATATCCTAGTACTATAAAGCTGGATATATCTTAGATTAGAATATGCCCAATCCGATTCTAGTTTGCTATATTCTGAGACGGAGGGAATGAGTACTTTTCACCAACCACGTGATAAACTCGTTGGACCACTCGACTGTAATTTGTTGTTTTGTTTATCTATGGGCTCATGGAATGAAGCTAGCGATTTGCTTGTGTTATGAGTACTGTGCATGTGTGTCTGTCCGTGGCGTAGTGTCTGTCATGTGGGGTACATAGATTGATGGTTGCTGGCTTATAAATAACAGCTAGCCATACAGTATTGGACGTGAGGAAGCCACAAGCTAGCACAGCACAGCCGGTAAGAGAGTGAGTGCGGAGAGCCAAATTGAGATGGGTGCAGCGAGCAGGAGACTGGCCGTCCTGGAGCTCGTCTCCATCGTCGCCGTCCTCCTCATCTCCTCACCAGCAGCAGCAGCAGAGTTGTCCGTGGACTTCCACGCGGCGTCGTGCCCGCAGCTGGAGTCCATCGTGCGCTCCTCCGTGCAAGCCGCTCTCCAGCAGGAGATCGCCCTCGCCGCCGGCCTCCTCCGCATCTTCTTCCACGACTGCTTCCCGCAGGCACGCACGCAAGAACATTTGCACGTACCGACGAACAATGCTGTACTGAACTGAACATACATATATATATGCAGGGGTGCGATGCGTCGGTGTATCTGAGAGGAGGCAGCAACTCGGAGCAGGGCATGGGCCCAAACCTCACGCTGCAGCCGCGGGCGCTGCAGCTGGTGGAGGACATCCGCGCCAAGGTGCACGCCGCCTGCGGCCCCACCGTCTCCTGCGCCGACATCTCCGCCCTCGCCACCCGCGACGCTGTCGTCGTCTCCGGCGGCCCCTCTTACGCCGTGCCACTCGGCCAAAAAGACAGCCTCGCTCCGGCATCGTTGGACCTCGTCGGAGATCTCCCGGGCCCGGGCACCTCCAGAGTCCAGGATCTCATCGACCTTTTTGCAAGCAGGGGACTGCGGGACGCCGCCGACCTGGTGGCGCTCTCCGGCGGGCACACCGTCGGGAGGACACGCTGCGCCTTCTTCGATGACCGCGCCCGCCGCCAGGACGACACCTTCTCCAAGAAGCTGGCGTTGAACTGCACCAAGGACCCCAACCGGCTGCAGAACCTGGACGTGATCACCCCCGACGCCTTCGACAACGCCTACTACATCGCGCTCATCCACAACCAGGGCGTCTTCACCTCCGACATGGCGCTCATCAAGGACCGGATCACGGCGCCCATCGTCAGGCAGTTCGCCACGGACAAGGCCGCCTTCTTCACGCAGTTCGCCAAGTCCATGGTCAAACTAAGCAATGTGCCGAGGACTGACAGGAACGTCGGCGAGATCCGCCGCAGCTGCTTCAGGACCAACAGCCAGAGCCTCGTCGACTTCGCCACCAGCGATGAGGAGGGCTTCGCTGCTTCTGCTTGATCATTCAGCTGTCTGTCGTTGCTCGTTAATTAGGGAGCTAGGTGCTTGACGTCGCTAGCTGATCCTAGTCTCTTTAGTCTTCAGGCCTTGGCTTTTGTACGCATATGCTTTCGTTATGTCCGTGCAATAATAACTAGTAAGACTGTTTTTCTTTCCTAGCTAGCGAGTAGCGATCCCTCGTCATTTCAACCTCGTATTCTCTTACATCCCACCTTGTTAAAGATTGTTAGTACGTACGAGTACGCGACTAGGGATCGATCGGACGTTTTATCCGAGCAAAAAAAAAAAAGAGTGTTCAAGCTGTTTCAGTTTAACCATTAGTGAAGTTATACTTTGTGAAACCAAATTTTCAGTCAACAAAACATTTGAAAAATATAGTACATACCAAACACCTTGAGAAGTGGAATGCAATTGGAAAATAAAACAAAATTGACACTGTCAAATTTAAATTGATACATTTTCCTTGCACATATGAAAAAAAAATGAAAAAATGAAGAAATTTATAAGCGGCGGCTCATCTAGGAAGTGGATTTTGATCTCTTGAGAGAATATTCCCTCGTTATTTGCATGTCACTCAAATAGTTATAAAAAAATAAAAAAAATGAGAAGATGTATTAACATTTGATGTATTACTCCACAAATATGCAAGTTCAAATTCAACTTCTACATCTCGTAACGAAAAAAAATTGACTGTGAATATACGTTAACTAGTTATAGTTTAATTTGTTTTTTTCGTTGCCAGATGTAGAAGTTGAATTTGAACTTGCATGTTTGTGGAGTGATATGTCACATTATAATACATCTTCTCAATTTTTTTTTCATATTTTTTCATAACCATTTGAGCATGACATACAAAAAAACGAGGGGATATCCCTCGAGGGATTGAAATAGTTTCCCAGCTCTTCTAACTATTTTTTTTCTGTCATTGGGAACATAAACTTTTCAATTGTTTTTTCAATTTCACTTAGAGCAAGTGCAATAGATGCTTCAAGCCGGGGATAGCTGTCCTCCGTGGCTTAAAAAACTGAGTTAAAAGCAAAAGTTGAAGAGAGAGAGATTTAGCCAGTGACTAAATTATCACCAACTCCTTACGAGCTCCAAGATACTGCAAAGCTTTAGTGATTGGCTAGCAAATAGATGAGCAGCAGTTGGCCTTGCTATATGCAAATGAAGAACATGCAATGCAATAAATAAAATGAAAAGTAATATTCAGAAATCTGTTCGCTGCAGTTTATTATTGTATCATGTGTCTCTAACTATGGCTGTAGATGACATGGAAATTTTTGGAGCCATTAACCGGCTATATTATTTACCTTGCTCTTATGTGGCATGATAAGTTGAGTTGTCTAGCTATGCCTTTTAATTAATGCTCTTTCCACTTCATCTTATGTCACGCCCCGAACTAGTCCCGACCGGAACTAGCCCGTGACGCTCCAAATTAACCTGTTAATCGATACCAGTCCCAGGAAACAGTGCTGGTATCACAGGGAGACAGAGTATCACAGCAACAGAGGTCTCTTTATTATAGAGTAGAAGTACAGTCATGTTGGGCTGCGGACAGATCCCGAGCTCACAACTGCATTACAAAAGGAAAGCGGAAGCCAGGACTTGGACCAATCATCACAGGCGCGACTTGGGAACTAGGCCGAAACCCTAAAACTCATCGTAGCCGACTTGCTCCTGGAAGAACTCCTCGTCAGCAGGATCCACTTCATCTTCTTCAGCAACTGGGGGGGATTATTTATATAGAGCAAGGGTGAGTACGGGAGTACTCAGCAAGTCAGGGGAAATAAGTGTTTAATGCAGGCTTCAAGGAAAGGCTGTTGTTTTCGTAATTGATTTTGTTTGAACTCTTTTCTAAAAAGTCTAAGTGAGTGCTTCTCAAACGACACGGATGAGACAGTGCGTCTCGTCCGGTCGGAGTATGTGCAATGCATCAATCTTTAGAATTGAAACAAGATTGGCACCCGGCCAACAGCTTTTCAAACGGCCACCCGGGCCAACAACTTTTCAAACGGCCACCCGGGCCTAGCTGATCCCGTCAGCTGCTGATTTTTCAAACATCGAATCCCCTTTTCACAACAGCAATTTCACAAGCAGTAGTCAAACAAAACTACGCTAGGAATCACCTCACATCCGCCCATGACCGTGGGCACGGTTGTTCGAACAGTTTGTTAACCTCTGCAGAGGGGGTACACTTTACCCACACGACATTACTAACCCGGATCACCCAGCCCGTGGGGATAAGCCACGTCGGGAGACCTCCAAGCTTTCATGACAAGGCATTTCGAAAGCCGACACAGGTTTACCATATGCCGACGAGTGGGTCCCAGACCAACAACAGGTTAGGTCCCAGACCATACTGTGCCAGGAAGCCCAGGGGTCCTCCCCGACACCACCCCGGCGAATCCACATGTCTCTCGGCATCAAGGCTCCCCTGATAAGCTAGTTACTCAGCCAGGGGTGTCCCATTCCACCCATGTGGTCGTACTTGTCTTATGTTTGGATGAAATTCCAAGGAAATCGGTCCTTAAGTGCGAGAGCGGGAAACCGTACACCCGGTACGTTCCCCGGTCCGCGGTTTTGGAAATTCATTTAGTTCGCAAGCACCGACCCAGGTGTCGGGTTTTCCAAGTCTTTTGTAAAACTCCAGTTTTACCCAAGTTGTTACTCAGATTTTAAGTTTGAAGGCGACCGTCGATACTCGCACAGAGTGCACGAATATCGAGGCGCAACTGGGTGGTTACAAGGGGACATGGTATAACAATTATCAATGGAAGGATCAAATGTAACAAATTAGGTAGGTCTGCCAATCTGCCTTGCAGACGGGACAACAGATTAAGTGTGATCCTATCAATGCATAATATTTCGCAAGCAATATAATTAAATTTCAAATATAGGCTCAAGATGTTCAAAGGTGGCTTGCCTTGCTCGCGATCCGGAGCTTGATCCTCGAAATCCTCGCACTGCGGGTCTTCGGGCTCCGAAACTACACGCGAAACGGGACAACTCAACAAACGGCGAAAATAAAGCCCTATTAATGACCTCTAAGCGTGCCATTAGATAGATCTCGAGATTTGAGGAATTTTGGAAGTTGAACGGAGTCAATCGGATTTACGGTTGGGAAGATATTGAATTTCTAACATTATTGGATTTTTGGTCTAAAGGAAAAAGGATTTATTTAAATCCTTTTTTTGGAAAAGAAAAAGAAAAGAAGGGAGGGAGGGAATATAGACTTTTCTCGGGTGGCTAGGGTGAGGCCCAAGAGATTTGGGGCGGCTCGGCCGAGCTTAACGGACCGGCCGGCCCAAGACGGCCCAAGCGCGCGCGCGCGGGAGGGAGGAGAGAGAGGGAGCAGGTGGACCGGGCTCACCACGCGTGGTCCCGGGTGGGACCCGCTTGTCAGCGGCTCGGCTCACCGTGCGGAGGGAGTATGCGGCGTACGCGCGCGGGCGGGGCTGGGACGCGGTGCACGCGCGCGGTTCGCGGAGGAACGGATGCGGCGGGCCCACGCGCAGCCTCACGGCTCACCGCGGACCACACGCACGGGGAGAAACGGAGGGAGCGGCTGGCCGGGTCGGCTTATCCGGTCGCGGCCGAGGTGGCGCCGACGTGGCGCCTACGTGGCAGCCACGCGGGCCGGCGGGAGGTAGACGACGACCCGGCCGCGAATGGACGGCGGGTGACAGCGGCGAGCGGCGGAGCGAGCCACGGCGATACCGGCGAAAGCGAGCACACCGGGTGGCTGCACAGGACGAGGGGAGACGAGCCAACGGCTCGGATTCGCCGGAGGTTGCTCGACGGCGGCGGATTGCGGCGGCGGCAACCGGCGGCGAGGGAAGAGGGAACGGCGACGAGCCACGAGGGGCCGATTCCCGGCGGTGAGAGCATCTACGCGGCTTCGGGAACTCGACGCTAGCGTCGGATTGGGCGGAACTACGCCGAGCGAGGCGGCGACGAGCGGGTGCTACGGAGCTCGGGCGGCGACGGCGGCGAGCACACGGCGAGCGATGGCAACGGTCGGGGCGGCGCCAGCTAACTACGGGGAGGCTACTCGAGCTACTACCGAAATCTAAGGGGAGGAGATGGAGCGAGGAGGAAGAACGGAGGGAGACACTACCGTGCGGGACGAGGCGATGTGACGAGAGGCCGACGGCGCGGGAGTAATCTCTCCGGCCTCGGGCCGGGGAAGAGGAAGAAGAGGGCGCGGCCGAAGTCCTCTTCCGCGTCCTTGCTCGTGCCGGCTCCTCCGACACGCGCAACGACGATCGGCGACGGCGAAACAAAGGGCGGCAATGGCGCGGAGGCGAAAATGAGAGAGTTTGGAGGGGGAGGGCTTGGGCTTAAATGGGCGGTATTGTCGGTTTGGGCGAGGGAAACCGACATTGAACGGTCAAGCCGGCGAGCTGGCGCTCCGGCTAGCGTCCAAAGCGGCGACAGGAGGTGACGCCGGCGAGAGGGGAAAAAGGAAGGAAAGGGTGAAAAATGAGGTGAGAGAAATGTGGGGCTTGCCCGCTTTTGCCTGAATCGGGAAAAGGAGGAGGGAGCGGGGCGACGCGGCAGAGGGAAGGGAGAGCTCGGCCTCCGCCTCTTGGCGGCTTGCGCGCGGAGTGGCGGGGGCCGGGGGATGACGACGGCGATGACGGTGGGATGGTTTGGAGCGGCGCGACGACACGGGCGACAGGCGCGGGCTGGCGCGGCAGAGGGTGACGGCGGCGGCGACCAGGCGGTCGGCCACTCGGCACGCGCGCGCGGGAAGCAACGGGCGGCGCGGCTGGGCATGCTGGGACCGGGCGACGCGGACGGCGCAGACGACGCGGCTCGGGCGGGAAACCACGCGGCGCGCGCGTGAGCAACGGCTCNGGTGGCCNNCTTTGCGAGCGGGNAGCTCNGCTGANAGGAGGTACGCTCGGCGGGGCCGACTCCCGNACTCNGCGCGGNGGNGTANACCGGAGGGTAGCCGGAGAGAGAGGCGCTCGGCGGGCTCTTCACGCNCGACAGCGATGNTGNGNGNNAAACNCGCGNGGGGGGAGGGAGCGANAGANATAGAGAGATATANAGGGGTCNCCGGGAGANAGAGGNGGGTCCTGGCGAAGAGATGGGCCGAGCGGAATTCGGCCCATCGAACCCGGGGTGAGGCAAACTAGACTTTTGCGGAGGGATTCGATTTGGAAGGAATTGGATTCGGAATTGATCTCGACGATCGATCGCGGATTGAGATCTTGAGATGGCACGGACACTAGACAACAAGCAAAGAAACAAATTTCGCAATTAGGGTTTTTAAGAGATAATTTTCCCGTTAGGCGCCACGACG